CGGTGCATCAGTCTACGCCTGGGATCTGAACCTGCAAATGCCTGGCTGCTGAAGCAGAGTGCACAAACTTAACTGCTACACCACTGGGCCGGCCCCTGGAATATCCTTTTTTATCCATTCACTTTCAACCTATTTGTGTCTTTGAATCTATAGCAAGACTCTTGTAGGCAGCATATAGTTGGATCATGTTTTTTTTAATTCATTCTGCCAGTCTCTGTCTTTTAATTTAAATAAATTACTAATAAGGAGAGACTTACTTCTGCCATTTTGCTGTTTATTTTCTAGGTGCCTTATAGCTTTTTTGCCCCTCATTTACTCCATTACTGCCTTTTTTGTGTTTAGTTAATGTTTTTGTAGAGAAATGTTTTGATTCTCTTCTCATTTCCTACTGTGTATATTCTACGGCTATTTTCTTTGTGGTTACCATGGGGATTACATTACATATAACTCCCTAGAGTTATAATACTTCAATTTGAATTTATACCAGCTTAACGTCGATAGCATATAAAAACTCTGCTCCTATACCTCCATCACCTCCTTTCTGTTATTGATGTCACAGATTATATCTTTATACATTGTTTGCCCAACAACAAAGAATAATAATTACTTTTATGCATTTTCTCTTAAGTCATGTAGACAATTAAAAGTGGATTTTAGTACAATAATACTAGCTTTTATAATTGTCCACATATTTACCTTTTATGGAAATCTTTATTTCTTCATGTGGCTTTGAGTTACTATCTAGCTTCCTTTCATTTCAACCTGAAAGACTCCCTTTAGCGTTTCTTGCAGAGCAGGTCTAGTGGTAACAAACCCATTATTTGGGTATATGTTAATTTCTCCCTCATTGTTGAAGGACAGTTTTACTAGTTATAGAGCTATTGTTTGAAAGTTTTTTTCTTTCAGCCCTTTGAATATTTTGACCCATTTCCTTCTGGCCTCCAAGGTTTCTGATGAGAAATCAGCTGATACTCTTACTGAGGATCCTTTTATGTGACAAGTTTCTTCTCTCTTGCTGCTTTCAAGATTGTCTCTTTGTCTGTCTTTTGACAGTTTGATTATAATGTGTCTTGATGTGTGTCTTTTTGAGTTTATCCTATTAGAGTTCAGTGAGCTTCTTGGGTTTGGAGATTCATGTCTTTCATCAAATTTGGGATGTTTTCAGCCATTATTTCTTCGAATGTAGTTCTTTCTGCAGCTTTCTCTCTCTCTTCTCCTTCTGGAATTCCCACAATATGTATGTTGGTCCACTTGATGGTGTTCCACAGGTCCCTCAGGCTCTGTTCACTTTTCTTCAATCTTTTTTCCTTCTGTTCCTCAATTCAATAATTTCAATTATCCTATCTTCAGGTTTGCTGATTGTGTCTTCTACCCTCTCACATCTGTTTTTGAGCTCTTCTTGTGATTTTTTTATTTCAGTAATTGTATTTTTCAGCTCCAGAATTCCTTTTGGTTCCTTTTGATATTTTCTACCTCTCTATTGATATTCTCGTTTTGTTCATACATCATTTTCCTGTCTTTCTCCAGGTCTTCATTAGCTCTTTGAGCATTTTAAGACAGTTGTTTGAGTCTTTGTTTAGTATATCTCCCATCTGGGCTTCCTCAGGGATGGTTTATTATTTTTTTTCCTTTGAATGGGCCGTACTTTCCTGTTTCTTTAAGACTTGTGATTTTTTTTGTTGTTGAAAATGGACATTTGAATCTTATAATGTGGTAACTATGGAAATCATATTTTACTCCTTCCCCAGGGCTTGCTGGGTTTTCTTTGTTGTTGTTGTTATTGTTATTGTAGGGTGTCTCTGGGCTGGGGATCAGCCGGAACTGAAAGCTTAGTCATCTCAGATGTTTTCTGAGCGTGCGTCTTTCCCTGGGCTCGCACAATGACTTTCTAAATTCCCCTGTGTTATGTATGTGTCAGTTGCTTTTGAATGTCCTAATACCTAAATGTCTGGCTCCCAAAAGGGTAAAAAGGGGAAAAAACCCAGAGGCTGTCTCTTTAAATCTCCTGAAAGCTGCTTCAGCCAGTAGGGGTTGAAACAATTGTGGCCTGCATCTATGTCTGCTCCTCTGTGATCAGAGGCACCCTAACTACTTCATTTTATCTTAATTACCTCTTTAAAGGCCCTATCTCCAAATGAGTCACATTCTGAGGTCCTGGGGCTAGGGCTTCAACATCTGAATTTGGGGGTCCACAATTCAGCCCATACAAGTCTATCCCCATTTCTCTCCCACTTTTTTTCCTGCAAAGCACTTACTGTAACCTGATGTTTTATCAGTCATTTACTTGTTTACCATCTGTCTTCCCCCAAGGGAAAGACAATATTGCTTAGCAAATGTTCCATGTGCTCACCTACATTTCCCAGCCCCTCTTCAGTTAAGTGGGGCTATGTGATTAATTCTGGTTAATGGCCTGAAAGCAAAAGTAATGTAGATTCCTCCCAGGCCAAAGCATTTAATTGCCAGTGCATGACTCACTATCCTCCCTTCTCTTGCCATCACAACTAATAATGTTGCAGATGGTACAGCCTCCATCAGCCATGGCATTTGAAGGGACTGTATGAAGTACACCTCTCCACCAACCCACTTTGACATGTAGCATGAACAAAAAGAAAATTGTGTTAAGCCACTGAGATCCCAGAATTCTTTTGTTACAGAGCATAACCTAACTTATCCCGATTAATACATCCCCACTAGAATGTAAGCTCCAATAGGGCAGGGATTTAACCTGGATACTTAGCGCCTGGTGCAAGGTGAGTAAGGGGTACTTATTTATGGAGTAAATGTGCCAGGCACAAGAAGGTGAAGTTTCTGGGCCCAAATTACTCTAATAAAAGGTGGATCAAGAGATGAAACTAATCCCAGAGCTGGGGACTGAAACTACTTGGCCACATGCCCACTGTCCTAACCACTGTCTTATTCCAAACCCAGACTATGCCAGGAATTTGACATTAATAATCCCTTGAAAGCTTTATAACAACCATACTTTGTGATGGAGAGTTCTAATGTCTCTATTTTACTGATGGGGGAACTGAGGCTTAGCAAGTCTCAGCAACTTGCCTAAGACCATGTAGCTCACACAGTGCCTGCCACAATCCTGGTACAACTGATGTTTCCCATCAGTGGATGCTGTGGCAGACATGGTTGGTTATACCTAATAGGTACTCTCTTCTCCATCTCTCCTGCATACAGAGCCCTGATTTTGTTTGGGTCTTCAATGACTTCTGTGGTCAAAGAAGATTATACTTCCCCATTCCTGGAGAACAAATTCTGATTGATTTAAGCCAATTATGGAAATTTTCTTTCCTTTCAGGGATTGGTTTGGATCTACACATGGGACCTAATCCTGGCCAAGGAAACTTTAGGAAAGATCTAAATGATGGGAGGATTTTGGAAGTGGTTTTAACTTTATGATGTAAAAGAACACTCCTTGTAGTAGACATTATCTGTGTTAATCATTGCTGACTGCCTTTTCCCAAATGTTTCCTGGCCATAGTAGAATTCCATTTCCTTTGATGAGTTGGAGGATTGGTGGTGCCGTGTAACCGTTTCTGGCCAATGGTTTGTGAGCAAGTCACATGTGTCATTTAAGTCCAGAGCATTTAATTGTAGACATGAACTCCTACAGAGCTCTCCATCTTCCTCTTCTGGCATGAAACTGGAAATGTTCAAGATGGCGGTTGCTCCATCATCCTGGATCCCTGAGTGACTATAACGCCAGCCCACTATAGATGTGGAACATGAGTGAGAAGTAAACCTTTGCTGTTGTAAATCATTGAGATTTGGGGGAAGTTTTATTTGGTAGCAAATAGCCTATCTTGAGTGATACAGAAATTAGTATCAGGAGTGAGGTGCTACTGTAATCAAAAATAAAGCACATGGCATTGGCTTAGACACAGAGCAAAGGGAACAAGAAAACTTATTTGAAACCAGAAGGGTAGAGACTGTTGCCTGAGATGTTTTGGAAGGCAGATAATGTATTTAATGAACTTACAGATTTAGGGGAAGCAGTTGGAATACAGAACATTAGGAGTGAATGTTGGCCAAAGTTGGCTGAAAATTAGGAAGCCTTGAAAGACAAAACTCAATTAGAACTCAGCATTTGTCAAGCATAAAATCATGAGTATAGAACTAATTAACTCTTTATTAACCATTGTTAAAATCTCTGAATGAATTATTATGCTCCTAGAAAATCCTTAAGATACTCCCAGGTAGACAAAATGGCTCAGTGAAAGAGCGGTCAAAAAATGGCTCTCCATGGATGCCTGATAGAGCTTAGGGTGACTGCAAACACACACACACACACACACACACACACACGGGGGGCATCTTGAGCAGAACTGTGGACGTGTTTTTTTTTGCACATGGAGGTGACTGGAGGCTTATAAGAATCGTTAGGTCCCAAACTTTGGGAGACAGGAAGCAGGCTGAGAAAACTGCTCGTGTGCCAAGGAGGGCACATCCTCCGATGCCACTTCAGATGTAGCCAAGGAGGGTAATGGAAAAGGAGATATCTCTCAGGAGAGTGGAGACGTGAATCACAGAGAGCAAAGGTTTGGGAAGCTCCCCCAACCTCCAAAGGAGCTGATTTGATGCGAATTCAGGAATCCTCCCATGTACAAGACAAGAGGCCCTTGCAGTGGCTTCTTGCTGGATCTTAGAAATGGTACAGACCAGTGATTTCTATGTCTGCCCTTCTTCCCCTTTCTGATGGGCATTTGTTTCATTCCATCATTGTGTATTAGGTATGTGGAGGACAAATAATCTGTTTTTTTAGTTCACTTGTTCTGACTTAGGTTCCCTTATTTTGTTTCCTGCCCAGCTCTTGTGGACATCTGAGTTTTCGACCCTGCAGCCTACACCAAGCTATTTGATGAATTGTACTTCTGGAAGTGCAGTGGACCAAGGTTCATTCCACTGCTGAGGGCTGATGCCTGAGTTCTGTGGGTGACTTCACAATGCCCAGGGTGGTTCCTAGCCTCCTCCTGTAGTCTCGAGCTACCATGCTGGCTGTCCTGTGGCTGTTTTGCCTTTCTCTCCCCACTCTGTGGGCCCAGATATTAATAAGCTGTACCTACAAGAGTCTCTGCCAGCAGGCCCTACTCTCGGGCAATGATGTTGTCCTTCAGTGTGACTATCCCAAGGCACTCTGGTACTTCTCTTCCATTCTGGGGGAGGATCCCTTGCTGCTATCCTCAATGCCTAACGTAAAGAAACTGCCTCGGGGCAGCCTCCAATTGACCAACCCTCAGCCCTCCCAGACAGGCCTCTATTACTGCCAAGACAATGACAGTGCTATCCTGGTGGAGTATGAGATTGATTTCCAAGATGTCACCACCCTGCATGTTACGCACAAAGGCCTGGGCCAAAAGCCCCTGCAGAATGAGACCCTGAGTCTGGGTGGCAGCGTACTCCTCTTTACCCTCTGGGAACCTTGGCAGGACTGTAACCGCTGCGAGGAGCCGGGTGAGCGCAAACGCCTGGGGTACTGCTACATCGAGGAGCCCCTGGAAAGACCCATGCCCTGCTGGCTCTATCTGAGAGAGGAGAAGGTGCAGTATAGCCGCTTACGGCCTGAGCTGCAGGTGGAAGCCTGTCTTGTACCCTGCGACCACATCAAGGAAGTCAATCAGCCATACTTCACCTTTGACGTTTATCAGTTGGGCAAGTTGACCAACAACATGTGGCTCACCTGCCCCTTGGCCTCCGTCTACAGGTGACTGGACCAGGGCATCGGCCCTGCCTTTAACCATCACCCAGGCTTTGCTTCCTGTGCCTGCCTGGGCCAGGGATTTACCTTCCAATGGAAAAGCAGGCTCTGTCTCCCAGCCCATGAGCCTTCATAGTCAGTCTGTGCAGGAAGGGGTCTCGTCACTGGCCTGTTCAGATGTTCATTCAGCAAAAATTCCCTGGTGCACATTCTGAGCCAGGCCCCAGGCAGTGATGTGGGGGACACAGTGGTGACCAACAAAGACCTAGTCCTCGCCTTCATAGGCTCCTGATATTGAGGGGGAGACCAAATGCCAAACTTAGAGGCAAAGGCACTTCAGCCCATGCTCACACCAAAATAGGCACTAGTGTGGCTTTTCTCTCCTCACTGGGCTCTGACTGATACAATTTGTCTATCAATCCTTGAACCAATGGCACAGTATCTTAATTATTATACCTTTATAATAAGTCATGATACCCAGTGATATAGATTTCCTGATTTTGTTTTTTAAGATTTTCTTGGTTATTCTTGGCCCTTTGTATAAAAATTTTGGAATTAGCTTGTGGTTTCCATCCAAAAAAATTCTATTTTTTAAGAAAATAGAGACTTCATTGAATCTAAAGATAAATTTAGGTAGAATCAATATATTATAATATTTAATTGTCTTCCAATCTGTGAACATCATAAAAAACTTCCATTATTTAGGCTTTCTTTAATTTCTCCCAGTAATGTGCAGTTATTAAGGTAGAGGTTTTACATATATTTTATTATATTTAATATATAATATATATTATATTATATTTATTCCTAGGTATTTGATTTTTTTCATGCTATCACAAATTGTATCTTTTAAATTTCATCTTCTAATTGTTTGTGGTTGGTATATAAAAATATGTTTAGTATTTGTATATAACCTTGCATCTAATTATTTTGCTAGATTCACTTACCCCCAGTAAAATGCTGAATGGAGACGTTGATGGCAGACACGCTTATGTTATTCTTAATATTTCACTATTAAGTATAATTCTGCTCTAGGTTTTCAATAGAAAAACTTTATCGGATTAAGAAGATTCTGAGCCAGCCCTGATGGCCTAGCAGTTAAAATTCAATGCTCTCACCACTTCAGTGGCCCGGGTTCGCTTCCCAGTCACAGAGCCACATCACCCATCTGTCAGTTGCCATGCTGTGGTGGCAGCTCACGTAGAAGAACTAGAATGACTTACACCTATGATATACAACGATGCACTGGGGCTTTGGGGAGGAAAATAAAACGAGGAAGATTGGCAACAGATGTTAGCTCAGGGCGAGTCCTTCCCTGCAAAAACAAAAAGAAAAAAAAAGATTCCCTTTTGTTTCTAGTTATTGAACTCTTTATTTCAAGAGTTTTGAACCATGAATGAGTGTTGAATTTTATCAAATGCTTTCTGCATCTACGGAGATAATAATATGGTTTTTATCTTTTATTCTGTTAATGTGATGAATTACATTGATTGATGTTCATATGTAAACGTAACCTTCCCTTCCTGGGATAAATCTAATTGGTTGTGATGTTTATCCTTTTTATTCATTTTTTAAGGCAATTTGCTAATATTTTATTGAGGATATTGTGTCCATGTTCATGGTATTTTCCTTTGTTGTAATGTTCTTACAAGGTTTTGGTATCAAGGTGGTGCAGACCTCATAGAAGTTTGGAAGTGTTCCATCTTTTTCTACCTCTGGAAAGATTTTGAAAGATTGATGCCATTTCTTTTCTTTTCTTTTTTTTTTTTTGCTGAGGAAGATTGGCCTTGACCTAACATCTGTGCCAATCTTCCTCTATTTTGTATGTGGGATGCTGCCACAGCATGGCTGACGAGTGTTGTGTTGGTCTGCACCCGGGATCTAAACCCATGAACCCCGGGCCAGCAAAGCAGAGCACATGGACTTAACCACTATGCTAGCAGTGCCATTTCTTAATTGTTAAGAAATGTTTGGAAGAATTCATTGGTAAAGCTATATGGCCTTTGAGGGGTTTTTGTGCGTGGGTTTTAATTATGGATTCAATTTCTTTAATAGTAAATATAGAACAATTTAAATTGTTTTCTTGTGCCAGTGTTGTTGAATTTTTCAATGAATGTATCCATTTTGTCTAATTTTTCAGAAGTTTTGGCCAAAAGCTGTTTATGATATCCTCTCATTACCTTTTTGTGCCTGTAAGGTCTGTAGTAATGTCTCTTTTTTCATTACTGATATTAGTCATTTAGGCCTTCTCCCTGTTTTACTCTTGATCAGTCTTGCTAGGGCTTTATCAATCTCATTCATCTTTTGAAAGAACTTTTTGGTTTTGGTTTGTTGATTTTCTGTATTGTATTTTTGTTTTCTATCTAATTGATTTCTGGTATTTGAGATGCTGGCTAAGATCTCCAGTTTTTATCCTTTTTTCCCCAAAGTATGTATTTAGGCTGTAAATTTCCCCCTAAGCAGAACTTACCTGCATCCCACAACTACATCTTCGTTAGTTAAAAATACTTTCTAGTTTCCATTGTGATTTCTCTTTTGATCCATTAGTTATTTAGACATTTCATGGTATAATGTTCAAATATCTGGGGATGTTCTTGTTATCCTTTGGTCATTTGTGTCTAGCTCAATTCCAGTGACCAAAAAGTGTGATTTGATTTCTTTAACATTTGTTGAGACTTTATGGCCTAGAGTATGGCCAATTTTGGCAAACATTTCATGTGAATGTGAAAAGACTATGTTCTGAAGTTGAGTGCAGTGTTCCATATATATGAATTAGGTCAAGTTTATATCAAATGGTTCAAATCTTCTATATCTCTACTAAATTTTTGTTTGTATGTTGCATTGTGGATTTGTCTATTTCAACATTTAGTACTATGAGGTTTTGCTTTATATATTTTTAGGTTCATACAAACTTAGGATCATTATATCTTCCTATTGGATGGACCATTTTATAAAATGTCTCTTGTAATCTCTATTAATACTTTTGGCCCTTATGTCTACTTTATGTTATTAGTATAACTACTACACCAGTTTTCTTTTGGTTAGTGTTTGCATGATATTTTCCATGTTTTTACTTTCACCTTTTCTATATTCTTTTATTTAAGGTGAATCTCTTTTGAGCAGTATGTATTTAGATTTTTGTTTTGGTATTAAGTCTGAAAATCTTTGTCTTTTCATTGGAGTATTTAGTTCATTTACACTTAATGTAATTACTGATATAGTTGGGTTTTAAATCTCCCATCTTCCTACTGCCTTTCTACTTGTTCTGTCTCTTCTTTGATTCTTCATTTTTTCTTTCTTTTGGATTCTCCAAGTATTTTTATTATTATTATTATTATTCCATTTCCACCTCTACTAGCTTATTAGATATGCATTCTTTTATTGTTTTCTCTAGAGATCACAACATTAATTCTCACTCATGAGAATATAATATAAATTTGTACTTGTACCATTTCCTAGGCAATGCAGAGACCTTGCAACCTTTTAGCTCCATTTATTCCCCTTCCATCTGTTGTGCTCTTTTTTTTTGTGAGGAAAATCAGCCCTGAGCTAACATCCATGCCAATCCTCCTCTTTCTGCTGAGGAAGACCGGCTCTGAGCTAACATCTATTGCCAATCCTCCTCCTTTTTTTTCCCCAAAGCCCCAGTAGAGAGTTGTATGTCATAGCTGCACATCCTTCTAGTTGTTCTATGTGGGACGCCACCTCAGCATGGCCGGAGAAGCCGTGCCTCAGTACACGCCTGGGATTTGAACCTGGGCCGCCAGTAGCAGAGCGCGCGCACTTAACTGCTAAGCCACGAGGCCGGCCCCGTTGTGCTCTTATAATCAGGTAATTTTATTTTACTTATATTTTAAACCCGACAAGACATTATTTTAAAGCATTCTCGTGTTTTAGTTTAGTTTGACCCACATATTTCCTCTTCTGCTGCTTTTCATTCCTGTGTTACCTTGCTTCCGTTTGGGATCATTTTCCCGCTGCTTGTAGAATGCTCTTTAGTATTACTTTTAGTGTGCTCTGCTGTGGTGAATTTTCTGTTTTCATCTGAAAATATCTTTATTTTTTGCCTCCATCTTTGAACAATATTTTTACTGTGGTATATAGGATTCTATACACAGAATTCTAGACTGGCAGTCATTTTCTTTTAGTGCTTTGAAGATGTCATTCAATTGTCTTCTAGCTTCCATTATTTCTTTTTAAAAGTCAATGTAGAGTCTTATGATTGTTGCTTTGAAAGTAATGTATCTTTTTCTCCTCTGGCCACTTTTAAGATTTTCTCTTTGGTTTTCAGCGGTGTTTTCCTATAAAGTGCCTAGGTGTGGTTTTCTTTCCCTTTTTTTAAATAATTTGTTGTTGTTGTTGTTGTTGTTATTGAGGCAGATTTGCCCTGAGCTGACATCTGTTGCCAATCTTCCTCTATTTTGTATGTGGGCCACCATCACAGCATAGCCACTGATGAGTGGTGTAGGTCCAAGCCTGGGAACCGAACCCAGGCCACCAAAGCAGAACACACAGAACTTAACCCCTAGGCCACCAAGGCTGACCTTCGGTGTGGTTTTCTTTATATTTATCTTATGTGGGGTTTGAAGACCTGCTTGAATTTGTGACTTGATGTCTTTCATCAGTTTTGGAAAGTTTTCATTCAGTATCTCTTCAAATATTGCTTATGCTCCAGTCTCTCCTTTTCTTCTGGGTCTCCATTTACATGAATGTTAGAACTTTTCATCATGTCTCGTGTCTCTTCCACTCTTCTGTATTTTCCCATCTTTTTCTTTTGCATGCTTCAGGATAACTATTTTTCCATGGACCCATCTTTTATTTCCCTAAATCTCTCCTTTGTTGTGTATAATAGATTGTTACCCTTTCTAGTAAATTCTTAATTTCACAAATTTTGGTTTTTTAATTCTAGTATTTCCATTTGATTCTTCTTTGTAGATTCAAAATCCTCATCTCATCATCTCTTAGACATATTAATAATAGTTACCTTAAAGCCTACAGTTGTTATTAGCAAGAGGGTTGGTATGATATAGGATACTCAATTGTAGCAGTAAGCAGAAATATCACCCACATTATTTAAAGAATAGCAGGGAATCTGGATTCTCATATGAAATCTCTTGGATTTTACATGTTGGTCACTGATTTAAATATTCTAAAAACACCCTCAGGAGGCCTATTAAAATGTGTCTTCAGGCTGGATCCAGCGAGTCTGTGACTTCTCACCTAGGTAAAATGAAAGTGGGAAGCAGGCTTTCTCACAGTGTCCCCACAGCCCTGCTTCCCTGTTGAGAAAAGATTCCCTGGGCTGAGGAGAGAGACAAAGAGAGAGGGAGGGAGATGAGGGAGATGGAGGGAGATGGAGGGGAAGCAACAGGGGTGTAGATGCTAATGTGTCTCAGATAGAGGGACTTCATAAGGTCCTGGGAAACAGACAAAAGCTCTAGATGGTTTTGTAGATCTGAGAGCAGAGGGGATGTGTGACCCACTACCAGGGTGGAGGTGGCAGCAAGACACCATGGAAGCAACAGTTCCAGAGTCTAAACTTGTGCTGAATACAGCCTGTAGGATCCCCACAGGCGGCAGAGGCATGACTAAGAGAGCCCCGCACCCGAACGATCCAGGTGGATAGGAAGGCGGGATGTCTTTGCAAAGACTGGATGGACCTCTGACCTCACCCACTCACCACTGTACCCCTTGTCCACTCCTTAGTCACTCTGGCCTCCACACCCTTTACATATTCTAACCAGCCCACCAGGTCAGGGTCTGACCCTCTCCAGGGAATATTCTTCCTTCAGATATCCACAAGGCTCTCCTTCTCTCTTCACTCAGGTGTTTGCGAGACTTCACCTCCCCAGAGAGGGCTCGGACAGGCCTGATCATCCTCCCTGAAACAGCTCACACCCACACACCAACCGTCCACTTTCCATCCCCGTTTCCTGGCTCTGTTTTTCTCCAGCAATTATTACAGTTCATCCTCGTTATTCGAGGATTCAGTACTTGTGAATTCACCTACTCACTAGAATTTGTTTGTAACCGCCAAGTCACTACCCACGGCACTTTCATAGGCATTTGCAGACATGCACAGAGTGGTGAAAAGTTTAGATCACCTAACAGTGCACATTCCCAGCCGAGATCGAACAAGGAGACAACCGCTTTCTTGTTTCAGTGTCTATTTAGTGACACATTTTTTTGCATTTTTCTTGGTGATTTTTCTGTTGAAAATGGCTCATAAGTGTAGTGCTGAAGTGCTGTCTAGTGCTTCTGAGCCCAAGAAGGCTGTGATGTGTGCCTCATGAAGAAAATACATGTGTTAGATGAGCTTCCTTCAGGCATGCATTATGGTGCTATTGGCTACACGTTCAATGTTAATGAACCAACAGTATGTATCAAATAAGGTGTCTTGAAACAAAAACACACATAAAACAAGATTATGTGTTGATCAGTTGACAAAAATGGTATGACCAAAGGCTTGTAGGACCCTAACTGTGTATTTCTGCTGGAGCGGTGTTTCAGTATTTGCTAATTCAGCTACTTCATAGAACATAACTGCTGTGAATAACGAGAATCGACTGTATCTGACGTTACATATTCTGTATTTGTTATCATCTGTCTCTTCCACTAGAAGGTCAGCTCAAGGAGCACAGAGGCTTTGTCTAACCTGGTCACTGCTGTGACTAGAGTAATAGCTGCACATGGTAGGCATGCAGTAGACATTTGTGAAATGAGTGGATGATGGCAGATCAAGCCTGCGCAATAATTATTTTTAATTTCAGGATTGAGAAGGAGTTTAGGAAAGGGTTTAGGAAGGGGACAACTGAGAAAAATATTTGTTTAAAATGAATTGAGTCATGCAGATGTCTCTGGAAAGAGCCAGGGACCAGCATGTGCAAAGGCCCTGAGGCAAGAGCCCTTTGCTTGCCTGATGTATTCAGGGGGCAGCAGGGAGGCCAGCATGGCTGGAGAGGAGAGTTAGGGAGAGAGGGGTAGGAGATTAGAATGGTAACCAGAGAGGATTTATTCACCGCTCCATCCTCAGCACTAAGAAATGTGCCAAGAACATAGTAGGTGGTCATGAAAAATGCATTGAATGTTCACATGTGGCACTTTAATGCCAAAGCTCGTGGGGGGCGGGGGGTGGGTAGAGAAAACCTTGACTAGACAAATTAAGTTCCCCCTACCCGAGCAGAGTGGAGGGCTTGAAGTAGAAATTAAGTAGGGTTGTTAACTTGTCACCAAACAAATGGGGATTGTGACCTCACACATCCTGCTGTCCTGGGCTGAGGCCTGACTGTCGTGAGTGACCACAATGTCCAGGGTGGTGCCCGGCCCACCACCACAGGCCCTGTCCACCATGCTGACCAGCCTGTGGCTGCTGCTCAGCTGTGCTGTCCCAGGGCTGGGGTTCTACATCTCTGTCAGCTGTCCCAGCGGGAAGCAGTGCCACCGGGCCCTGCTCTCGGACAACGACGTCCTCCTGCACTGCAACTCCTCCGGGGCACAGTGGTACTACTTCTTCCTGCAAGACATGACCGGCTGGTCCAACAATTTCCACACCGTCCGCAACGCGGAGATAATGCCCGACGGCAGCCTGCTCATTCGGAGTCCCCCGCCCTACCAGACAGGCCTCTACGAGTGCCGGGACAAGGACAGCGTCCTGGTGGCCCAGTACAGTATCGACTTCCAAGACGTGAGCAACCTGCACATCACTCACAGGGGCCTGGGCCAAAAGCCCCTGGAGAACGAGACGCTGAGCCTGGACGGCAAGCACGTCGTGTTCACCCACTGGGAGCCCTGGCAGGACTGCAACCGCTGCGGGCAGCCGGGCGAGCGCAAACGCCTGGGCTACTGCTACATCGAGGAGCGGCTGGAGGAGCCCCTGCCCTGCGGGCTCTACCTGGGGGATTTGAAGGTGTGGTACCCCCGCCTGCAGCCTGAGATGCAGGTGGAAGCCTGCCACATCGAGTGCAAAGAGTCCACAGTGGCGTACGTCACTTTCGACAACTTTAAGCTCAGTGAGAATTCGGAATCTGCATGGCTTACCTGCCCCTTAGGATCCATCTACAGGTGAAGGAAGCAGGCATTGCCCCCCACCCCCGGCCCCTAGCCGGGCTCTCACTGCCTGGGAACCTTCGAGGTTGACCCGTGCAGGGAGTGGGGGCTCCGTGCGTGACAACCCCGCAGGCTCTCTCTGCTGGCTTCTTCAGATGTTCGTTTGGCCAGAATCCCCTGGTGCCCGTACGCTAATTAGTTACATACAGGTAGAGGAAGGACAGTAATACTTGGGGAGGGCTCAGCTGACTGTGCCCGGCCCTGTGCTGGGTGATGCTGTGGCCATGGCGGTCAGCAGGAAGCCCCCAGCCCGGAGGGAAGGTGGTTCAGGCAGGGATGGGAGAAGCCAGGCGAGAGATAGCGCTGTGCTGGGGGAGGCTTGGACAGCTGTGGGGCTCTGAGGCCTCTGACTCTTCTGGGAGGGTGAGCAAGCCCCGGGAGGAGAGGATGGTGCCCCAGGGTACCCAGCAGGGCCTGCCTCCCTGGGTTCACACTCATTTTCTCGTCTTCCTGCCTGGAGCCCCTGGCAAATCTCCCCTTTGCCTCCTCATCCCCAACCCACCTGCCCCAACCCCAGCAATAAGAACCCCAACCACTCACCGTGCTGCACTGTCGCCATGGGCTGGTCCCCGAGCAAACTCTCATCACGGACTGCAGCCTCCCCCGCCCTCCTCCAGGCCCCAGGAGCTGAGGACTCCAAGGAGGTCATTTACAGACGGGAAACCGCAGCTCGGAGGCACAGTCCTTGCCCAGGGGGATCCATGGTGGGAGGTAGCAGCACAGATCCTACATCTCATGTAGTTGGCCGCGGGGTCCCCTTGCCTGCTTCCCCACGGGTCAGCAGCGGCCGCTCCCTTGCACAGGTCACGCGTGATGGGGGCCCCCGAGTAGCCTCTGCAGCCGCGGGTTCTGCGGAATGTCGCCTCACAGCCTCCATCTGGGTCTCTCTTCCTTGTTTATTCCAGCTGTGACTTCCACTCCTCTCTTTCTCTCACTCTCGTGTCTTTTTGTCTCCCTTCCTCTTTTCTTCCTCTTCCTCTAAGTATAAAAGTAACACCTGGTTCCTAGAAAGCCCCACAATTCAGAAGTGCGGGAAGGTGCACGTGAACCCTCCCCCCATCTAGACTGGGACGCCCACTCCGTGTCATCTGCTGGACGGGGGCTCCCGAGTGCCCGTCACAGGGGGCTTGAGATCAGAACCACAGGGGTGGCCGAGGCTGCAAGAATTGCCCCCGTCTCCAGGGAGCCGGGCGGAGTGGCCGCTGGTGTAAGCTTCCTGTCTCGGGCTCTGCTTCCGCCAGGACTGGGTTCCAGCTCCAGCCCTGCCACTCTGCAGCTCTGTGACTTTGCGCTGTGGCTTCTCTCTGGGCTTGTTTGCCTGTCCGTAGAATAGGGTTGTGTTGGTTTCCAGGGGCTGCCGTAATAAAGTGCCACAAACTGGTGGCTTAAAACAGCAGAAATGCATTCTCTTCCAGTTCTGGAGGCTAGACGTCCGAAATCAAGCGTCCACGGAGCCACGTGCTCTCCGAGATGCTGGGTAGAATCCTTCCTTGTTTCTTCCCGGCTTCTGCTGGTGGCTGGCAATCCTCGCCTTCCCTGGGCTGTGGCTGCCTCCCTCCCATCTCTGCCTCCGCCATCACTGGCGTTCTCCCCGTGTCTCTGTCTCTTCTCCTTTTCTGATAAGGGCCCACGCTACTCCAGTCTGATCTCATCTCAACTAGTTGCATCTGCAACGACCCGATTTCCCAATAAGGTCACAATCTGAGGCTCTGGTTAGAACATGAGTTTGGGGAGGGCACGATCCAGCTCAGCACAGAGGTTTTGCTGGCCCGGCCTCGTGGGGTCATTGTGATGCCTAAGTGGGCAGTGCCTGTGGAGACACGTCCAGCAGAGTTCCACACTGTAATGGGTGTTAGGCATTGCTTGTCTGATTATTGGTCTCGTCGATACAATCTGTTGAGGGTCCCCTCCGTTCCACCACGAGGGGCCCGTACGCGCCTGAATCGCTTATTCACTCACCGTGTTTTCACTGAGCATTTACAAGCCAAGCTCTGTTCCAGGTACCTGGGATGCACTGAAGAACAAAACTGCCCTCATGGGGAAATCCACCGATCACGTGAATAAGATACACAGTATTTCGGGTGGTGATGAGGGCAGGGAGGCGGAGTGGGCGTGGGGGCTGAAAATTTTGAATAGGGAGGCCAGGGACAGCGTCTCTGAGAAGGTGCCTCTCAGCCAAAACTGAAAGGAGGCAAGGGAGCCGTGTGCACTGAGGAGGCAGAGGGAACAGCCAGGGCAAAGGCCCTGAGGCAGGACCATGCCCAGCATGTCAGAGGAACATCTAGGAGGCTAATGTGGCTGTGGCAGAGTGAGGGAGGGAGAGAGCGGAGAAATTGAAGCCAGGCAGGTAAAGGGGGGGGGCACAAATCATTTAGGGAGGGTCCTTGCTAATTCCTCCAAATAACCCTGTGTGGTAGGTATAGTCATGACACCCCCAGTTTTCAGATGAGGAAATGGAGGCTTAGAGCTGGAGGTGTTTGGCCAGGTGGCCCGTTTAGTAAGGGGTGGGGCTCTGAGAGTTCCCGGCCATCCTGCCCCCACTCCCACCTTGTTCACTGTTACATAATACTCCTCAGAGGGTGTGCTCTGTTTGCTATTCCCAGGGAGGAGGGTGCCACCGTCTCAACCTCCTTTTAGTCATCGGTCCCCCTTTTCCCCTGGGGCACTAAAGCCGACCTTGTCCTCCTTTGTAGGCCCATCATCTGGGAAGTCAACAACAGGCCCCTGACCTGGCAGGGCCAGCTGTCTGGCCAGGATGTAAGCACCTTCCTGGACCCCTCCAATGGCGGCAGGCGCCTGCAGGTCTTCCAGCCGGCCGTCTACAAGTGCTTCGTGCAGCAGGAGCTCATGGCTCGATTCAACCCCTGGCCCAATCCCGAGATGCCGGGGACTCCCGGGACAGAGGCCGCTGGACCACGGGAGGCAGAGGAGGCCGGGAGGGGGAAGGCCGACTCCATCCTCAAGGGGCTGCAGCTGATGCTGCTGGCTGTCGCGGTCCTGGGCCTGCTCGGGGTGCTGCTCAGGCTCTTGCGCCTTTCCCAGGGCAAGAGAGGCAAGCAGGTGCTGCTGGTGAAATAAAGCGGGGCCTCTGTGCCTGGACGCCTGGCCTCCGGCGCCTCCATCCCCCGCCTTCCCTTCCCCAGCACCTGCCTGTGCCTGTCCCACGCCCACTCTCGCGTGGTGTGGACTAGGCAGACCCGCGGCCACGGCTAAGGGTGATTGAGCTCCTCCCTGTGCCAGGTCCTGCTCTGTTAACTCAGTAACAATCCATGGTCCACAGATGAGGAAACCGAGGCAGGACTGCCTGTCCGGTGATTGGCGGGGGCTCCAGTTCAGACCCAACCTGCCTGTTCCCCACGGGGGGGGGATGGGTGAGGCCATTTTAAGGGCGAGTCTCTGGGTGTGGGACACTGTAGGCACCTCACTCACCCCAGGGACAAGGGCTGAGATGGGGGCTGGGAGCGGGTAACCCCCCGGCCCCCAGACTGCACTGGGCACTGCCTTTCCTTGGCGTCCCATGCGCCACCCTGTCCCAGCTGCGCCCAGAGCCTTCAGGCTCAGCCGTATCTCCCCAAGTCAGGAGGCGCTGCCAGAGCGGTGGCCCGGGGCAGCTGGACCTGCGTCACCCTTCCAGGCCCTTGCGGTGGAGAGAGCGCCGTCAGACCCCGAGAAGGGGAGACAGGCCCCTCCAGCGGGACAGGGCGCCAGGCCTGGCCCAGCCGACCCCCGGGAATCACCAGGCCTGGCTGTTCCCAGAAACTATATAGACTGTCTAGCAGAGTGCCAGAGTGAGGAATAAAATATTAATGCCTCATAAAATTCACTGGCCTAGTATTCCATTGTGAAGCCAAGATGGGACAGATCTGAAACCTCCAGAACAGACCTTCTGCCACCGAGGAGAGGGCGGAGCTCACCCCTCACATACCAGACAGTGTTGCCAAAACACTTAAGGCGCTGCATGGGGACCAGAGAAGCAAAGATTCCTGCAGGATGGGGGAGCATTGGTGGGGAACTGAGGGGGTCTGCTGGGAAGCAGAGGCAGAGAATTAACAATGATAGTAATAGCAAACATTTGTGGGCCCCCTGGTGTGGTCAGAACTCACATCCTTCACAAACATTATGTCCTCACAGCCCCCAGGAGGCTGGGGTTACCGTGAACCTCACTTTGTAGCTGAGAACATCAGTGAACTAGGGAAGGGGCCAGTGATGGGAGAGGGCAAGGCCTCTGGGCCCCCAACCTGCTCCCAGGAAATCCCTGGTGTCTTGCACCCCCAGCAGCCCCCATGTAGCAGCTGGAGGTGGACAGCACTGAAGGTCACACCACTCACCACCAAGGCTGTCTGTGCCCCACGGGGTCAGGCTGACCCTACGGTGACCCCAGTGATTTTCACCTCCTGGTGTCCTCGCCTGTGTTGTCCCCTCCCCCTCAGTGTGGATGGCACTGTCACTTGCTTCTCACCAACAGAATAGTGCGCAGGCGTTGGGCGTCACTCCCCTGGTTAGGTTATACCACGGAGGACTCTGTCCTCGCTGATGAGAGCGAGAGCCTTGCTGGCTTGATGAAAGAAGCAGCCCTGTTGAGGAAGCCCACTTGTGTGGAGCTGTGGGCAGCCTCTAGGACCTGAGAGTGACAGCCAGCAGAGAGCCAGGGCCTCCATCACAGAGCCACCAGGAGATGAACTCTGCCAACAAGCTGACAGCTCGGAAGCAGATTCTTCTCCAGCGGAGCCTCCAGATGAGAGTGCAGCCTGACCGACACCTTGAGTGCAGCCCAGGGAGACCCCGAGCAGAGGACACAGCCAAGCCCTGTCTGGACGCCTGAACATAGACACTGGGGGTCGTGAATGTGTGTTGTTTTCAGCTACTAAGTGTGTGCCAATTTGACAGGCAACGAATACACCCACCCATGGTCCCCCAGCCCACCCTGAAGCCCCCTGCAGCTTCAGCAGTTACGTGGATGGTTCCTGATATGCCAGTGGCTTCCTAACTCCCCCCAGGGGCCTGCTGGTGCAGGCAAGGGGCTGGGCAGTTGGTGCCCCCAGGAGCAATCCTCACCCATGAGGGGTGGGATGGGGGGACAGACACCCCGCTTCTCCAACCCTGGATGGCACACTCTGAGGCACATTCTCTCAGAGGGTCCCCAGTGGCACCGAGCTCCATGTGGGTTCAGCTGCCACCAGCTCATTGAGGCCCGTGTGTCAGCTCACCCCCTTCCCTGCCTCACTGTCCCTCACTTCTGCTTCCTGAGACTATAGTCTTCAAATATTTTTTCAGCCTAACATTCCGTCTCCTCTCCTGGGACTCCAAAGACGTGAACATTAGACCTGTAGTTGTCCCACGGGTCCCTGAGACTCCGTTAATTCCCTCAATCTCTCTGTTGTTCAGGTTGGAGAATGTCTACTGATCTGTCTTTAAGTTCACTGACTCCTTCCTCTGTAGCCTCCACTCTGCTATTCAGTCCATCAGCGAGCCTTTTACTCTGGTTTCCATCTGGTTGTTCTTTATACCTTCTATCTCCTTTTTGACACTTTCTATTCTAATTTCTATTTTATAAGTATATATATTACTATATATTATAAAATATATATTTAGAAAATATATTTATAAAACAGATATTTCTATTTTAATATTTGTTTTTAGGGGAACCCTAACAGAGACACTAGGGTTGCTAAGTCAATGGCCTATGTGAGCCAAGCAGATAACATAAAAGGAGAAAGGCTGTGAGGACCTGTTGTGATGTAGGAGTTCTTATCCCGGGCTGGGTGGGGAGGGACTATGGGGCTATGTCAAAGTTCTAACTGATTATCACCACGCATGAATGCAGGCCTGGTTCCTCTAAAAGTTTCACGTGATTCTGGAAATTGAGATGTTTGAAACTCTCCAATTTATGAATGTTGGCTCAAAAAAGTTTTCAAACGCAATGCCAGCCAAATAAAACACATCTGCAGACTAAATTCAGCCCACGGGTGTGAGTTGAGGTCAAGTGTACATTTCCACTTCTAATTATTCATTCAACAAATATTTATTGAGCTGGAGGTAGCCAGGGACAGCTTCTCTGAAGAGATGACATTTCAGATGATCTTTGAGTAGAGATCTCGAGGAAGGGTGTGTTAGTTTCCTGTCTCTGCTGTAACAAATTACCACAAACTTAATGGCTTAAAACCACACAAATTTATAATTATACAGTTCTGGAGGTCAGAAGTCCAAAATGGATCTTATTTGGGTCTTAAATGGGTCTAAACTCAAGATGCTGGCAGGATTGGATTCTTCTGGAGCCTCAAGGAGGAGAACCCACTTGCGGGCCTTCTCCAGCCTCTTAGCTCTTCCTGCATCCTCAAAGCCAGCAGCGGAGCATTTTCCAATCTCTCTCTCTGACTCTCTTACCCATGCTTCCAGGGTCACAGCTCCTCCTCTGACTCCGACTCTCCTGCCTCCCTCTTATAAGGACCCTTGGTATTACATTGGGCCCACATACTAATCTAAAATAGTCTCCCCATCTCAAGACCCTTCCCTTAATCACCCCTGCAGAGTCCCTTCCACCATGTAAGGTGACATTGTCGCAGGTTCCAGGGATGAGGAGCAGACCTCTTTGTGGCGCCATTGTTCAGCCCACCACAAATGGTCCCAGGCAGAGACAGCATTTGTAATGGCTCTGGGGTGGGTGTCTGCTGGGTGGATGGAGCTGACTGGGGCAGGGAGGACATCAAGGAGGTAGCCGGGAGCCAGATCGTGTAGGGCCCTGCAGGCCAGGGTGAGGGCTTTGGACTTTATTTGAAGTGAGATGGGAACCATGGGAGGCTTTTGAGCAGTGGAGGAACATGACCTGATGTCCACTTAGAAAGGTGATTCTGACAAGGTAGAGTTCCCTACAGGGAAGGGTCGGGGAAGCCCTCTGGTTGGAGCAGAGAGCAGCAGCCACTCTCCACGTGGCAACTGGACAATGAGGACCTTTCATCACCCAGCAGGAGAAGTGGTCAAGCCGCCCTTGCTACACTTCCCCCACACCTCCAAGTGCGCGTAAGATGCAACTTGCCCCATATGCCATTTTTAGCCATCCTATTCTGCCCTTTTACTTTCTGTATTGTAATTTTTTTCAGACTTCATCTTTTAGAGCACTTGGTTCACAGCAAAATTGAGGGGAAGGTACAGAGATTTCCCATATAGCCCCTGTCCCCACACGTGTCTGGCCTCCCCCACTGTCAACGTCTCCTACCAGAGTGTCCATTTGTTACAAGTGATGAACCTACACCGACACATCATGATCACCCAAAGTCCATAGTTTACATTAGGGGTCACTCTTGGTGGTGTACATTCTATGGGTTTGGACAAATGCATAATGACGTCTCCATCATTGTAGTATCGTACAGAATAGTTTCACTGCCCTAAAAATCCTCTGTGCTCTGCTGTTCATCCCTCTCTCCCTACTAAACCCTGGCAACCACTGATCTTGTTACTGTCTCCATAGTTTGCTTTTCCAGAACATCATATGGTTGGAATCATCCAGTATGTCAACCTTTCAGACTGCCTTCTCTCACTTAGCCACATGCATTTAAGTTTCCTCCATGTTCTTTCATGGTTTGCTAGCTCATTTCTTTTTAGCACTGAATAATATGCCACTGTCTGGATGGACCACAGTTTATTTACCCATTTGGCCACTGAAGGACATCACGGTTGCTCCCAAGATTTGGCAATTATGAATAAAGCTGCTATGAACATCAGTATGCAGGTTTTTGTGTGGACATAGGTTTTCTTTTTTTTTTTTTAAAGATTTTATTTATTTATTTATTTTTCCCCCCAAAGCCCCAGTAGATAGTTGTATGTCATAGCTGCACATCCTTCTAGTTGCTGCATGTGGGACGCGGCCTCAGCATGGCCGGAGAAGCAGTGCGTCGGTGCGCGACCGGGATCCGAACCCGGGCCGCCAGCAGTGGAGCGCGCTCACTTAACCGCTGAGCCACGGAGCTGGCCCCTGGACATAGGTTTTCAACTCCTTTACGTAAATACCAAAGAGTGCAATCGCTGGACTGTATGGTAAGATAGATTTAGTTTTGTAAGAAACTGACACCCTGTCTTCCAAAGTGGTATTCCCACCAGC